GCTCAAGCATCAGCGTCGGGTCGTCGCTGCTCGGGCTCACCTGCTACTTGCGTGCACCTGTACACTGAGCCGTCTAGGCTACATGCTCGACTTTGGCGCCGAGTTTTCATCTTGCTGTTCAAGCCATGAAGGCTGGCAGGCCGAGGGTGGGAGAGGTAAGTCAGCACCGCCGCCTGCAGCACCAGCATGCCTCCCCCTGCCCCTGTCAGCCAGCTCAGCCGCCCACGAGGGCATTAGCGCTTTCCCGGACCTACGAGGCAAGTCCGCCCCATGATCATTCATAGACAGAAAAACAATTTCACAGGACAAAATCTCAACAAGCGGGACAGCGAGGAGGACGTACGCTTACATGGTGCTGTAGGTTCGTTCTCCTCCTCCTCCTCTTCCTCCTCCTCCTCTCCAACACTTGCGTCCTCTGGGTGTGCGGAGCAATTCTCTGTCAAGACACTACTCAGGCTCGTGCTCTCCGTCGCAAAGTGGCCTGATCGAGCCTGATCCATGTCTGCAGCAGACATGTCTGCTTGACAGCAGACGTGGAGGAGGTGGAGGAGGAGGAGGAGGAGGAGGAGAGGGAGGAAAGAGGAGGAGGAGGAGGAGGAGAGGGAACAAGACCTACCCGAGGGGAAGCAAGCAGATGCCAGCGCAATGTGCCCTTTGAGCACAGCAGTCCAGCTCCTCCTCTTCTCCTCCTCGGGCTGTCCGAAGAACATGGTCCTCGTTACGTCCGTGGTGCCATCAGCGTACTGAGCCCCTGCACAAGTTGATCAGGAGGAGAAGAGATGGGATGGGAGAAGGAGGAGAGGGAGGAGAGGAGAGCAGAGCAGAGCAGATCAGAGCAGAGCAGAGCAGAGCAGAGCAGAGCAGAGCAGAGCAGAGCAGAGCAGAGCAGAGGAGAAGAGAGGAGAGGGGAGGAGAAGGAGGTCGACAGGGGTCAGGAGTCGGAGAGAAAGGAGAAGTGAGAAAGAGTTGATGAGAGAGAAGGAGAACGAAAAAAGCAGAAGAAAGAGAGCGAATGAGTAGAGAGGAGAGGGAGCAGAGGGAGCAGAGCAAGGACGACGGAGGAGGGACCATGGAGGAAGAGGGGAGTTAGCACCTGAATCGCAGAGGTACATCTCATCTGCCCTCAGCTTCCGACTAGACGAGCGAGTCAGAGGAAAAGTGAAGGAGATGACAGGAATAGGAGGGCAAGAGCAAGGCGAATTTAAAAGAGCAAGAACGGAGCAAGGATTATGTTCTGATAATTGGCACAAGAAGTAAGGAACACTGAACGGTGCAGGAGCAGGAGCAGGAGCAGGAGCAGGAGCAGGAGCAGGAGCAGGAGCAGGCACGGGGAGCAGGAGCAGGAGATGGAGACGGAAGAAAGCAAAGATGCTGACCTGGTCTGCGGGGAAGGACAGTAGTGGATGATGGCGCCGTTGGGGCCAGACGCTGAGATGGTGGGGAAGCTCAATCCTCGAAACCTAGAGAGAGCAAGTGAGGACGGAGGAACAAGTTTGTTGTGCTCGACACAACGTTGCTCTCAAGAGTGTTGAAGTAATATCTCACAACATCCACACGACACGTCACATCCAAGGACGTGACTCAGCCCCCGATTCCCCTCCCCTCGGCCCTTACCCTTTCTCCCTTTCCCCTTTCCCCATCTCCCTCCTCTTTCACCTCTCCTCCTCCTCTCCTCCTCCTCCTCCTCTCCTCCTCCTCCTCCCTTCCCATCTCGCATCACCTGTCCTGCTCACTCCTGAGCTCTTCAGCACGAGTAGCGGCAGCGATCTCGTCCAAATCTTTCCCCTCCTCCACGGATTTCTCCAACCAGCTGAAAAACCTTGCCATCGCCACCCCATCTCGAAGATGAGCATTTTTCATTCCCGCCTTCTCTGCCTCGTTCTTCACGGCTCTGCCATGTCAAAAATCAGCTTTTCTCCATTCCTGCCCTGCCTCCTTTCCGCTTCCTCCTCCGTTCGTTCCACCCCTCCCTCCCTCCCTCCCTCCCTCCCTCCCTCCCTCCTCTCTTCCTGACTTGCTCCACCTCCCTCTCCTCCCTCCCTCTCCTTCCCCTGCTCTCTCCCCTCCCCTCCTCCCGCTCACTTCGGCAGGGCGATAGCAGAGCTTCCCTCCACATGCCCCTTGGCGTCTCCTCGCTGAATCGCTTCCATGGTCGCCCAGCTCACACGGGCAGGGTCGATGAAGAACTTGAGCCCAGCTGCACACCAGCTCAGCTGGCAGACCCCGCAAACTCTCACAACCTCGGCTCATCTCCTCGACCTCTGGGAGGAAGCTGCCGTAGTCCTTGACGACAATGCCAGAGCGCTTCAAGTGCTCCTGCATGGACCCGTCCTGCCTCCTCCGTCACTACCTGCAGGCTCTTCCTCCACCTCCCACCCGCGTCTTCTCCTCTTGAATGAAGAGAAACGCTGAGTCGAGGGTCACAATCGCATGCGACATGGCAACGGGGTTGTAGGGGACGTCCGTTCCTCGGATGTTGAACAGCCAGGCGATCTGAAGCTAAGGCATCAAGAGGAGGGAGGGCATCAACAAGCTCTGACCTCGTCCAAGGAGGAGACCACGTACGCGCTCGCTTTCTGCTTCTTCAGCGTCTCTCGCAGGCTCGCGAGCTTGTCGCTCACGCTCACTCCTGCGAACTCGATCGGATGCTCAACGATTTTACCCGTCGGCATGGAATCCCTTCCTTCCTCCTCCCAGACTGCCTGCACAGGACAAGCTGCTGTTGCCGTGAGCACGTGCGGCTTCAACGCCTTCTGCAGGCTCCTCCATGTGGCAACGGAGACAGTAGAGGCGTCGATGCCCACGCGCTTGGAGCCGTCACCGAGCTCTTGGAGCATGTACTGGGAGAGAGTTGGCAATCTTGTGCAAGAGACTCAGAGGCAACAGAGAACGAGAGCAGAAGAACAAAGTCACCTCGCTCCCGTCTGGAACACACTCCACTTCGATTGATCCAGCTCCTTGCTCGCTTGAACGGTGTACCTCCCGTCCGTGATCAGGCTTGCCTGCTTGCCGCTTGCCAAGGCCGTTCGGGAGAGGAGGACGGTACCAGCAGAACCCGTGAAGCCCGAGACGTACTTCAAGCACCTGTCTCTCTCGCAGAGGTACTCGCTCTGGTGTGCGTCCGACGAGAGCACGATGAGGCAGTCAAGCGACATGTCCTCGAGCTGCTTCTCGACCTTCCCGATCCTCTCCATCACTGTCTGACCAGCCACAGACACACTCATCGACATGGTCGGCATCCTTCGTGTCCTTCCCCAACCGGGCGTGCGCAACAGGAGCCGACTTGGGCAAGCATGAGACGCCGAACCGAGAGTTCTCTTCTGCATAGCGAGCATGGGCGCGTTGAATGCGCTGACGCTTGAGATCATCATCCCCAGGACAAGTTTCCTTGATAATCCTGAGGATAATCTGTTCGGACACACGTCAGACAGCTGAAAGCATCAGATCCTTGCGGCACAAACTCGAATCGTAAGGAAAGGAGGCGGTGATTTCAATTTCCACATCCTTTCCCTCTTGAAGTTCTCAAACGATCCTGCCTCTTGGCCTCTGAGTCTCGCATCACTTCTTCTTCTCTCCTCCATCTCCATCCTCCTTCGCCTCCGCTCCTCCCCCTCCCTCTTTCCACGCCCCCTCTCTTGCTCACCGCAACATTGCCATGGCGTCCTTATATCCCGGGATGATCCACCTCCCCCCACTGACCTCGTCCCAAGCCCGGGCTGAAGCCCGGGCCTCTGCCGCCCGGGCACTGCGGCAGGCGGAGGCTCTGCCCGGGTCTGGCCTCGGAGGCTCAGTCCCTGTCGCCGGGAGTCCGGGCCAGTCCCCGCACTCGGAGGCCGCCGCGACCGTCCGAGGGGGCAGCCGCCGCCGCCGCCCGGGCAGAGGATTTGGCACAGGCCCGGCGGACTCCGGAGGCTCATCGGGCTGTAGCCGCTGAGCACACCGTTAGCCACCAGACCAGCTCCCGAGTTGCATCCATGAATGGAGGCAGTGCTTCCATATTCGGAGCCTACTGCAGCCTGAGACTTCTTTGAGTAACAAATAGGTCCAGGGGTACTTCCGAAATGAGGGGTGGTTAGTCTATAGATTTGTTAGAAAGAGGGGGGTGAAGTGAGGATGGGGGTGGGGTTGGTGGGGGCCTGAAGGGGGGTGAAGGGGTTTGAGAGTCCCCGACACGGGAGACCTCCCTGCTCCTGCTCCTGCTCCTGCTCCTGCTCCTGCTCCTGCTCCTGCTCCTGCTCCTGCTCCTGCTCCTGCTCCTGCTCCTGCTCCTGCTCCTTCTCTGTTTCCTGCTCCCGCTCCTCCCACTCCTGCTCTTTCTATTTTCCCTCAAGTTGGTTGCAAGACAGATTCCACCTTCACCTTACAGCAAACTTTGAAAACAGCAGCGTTGACTCTCGCGGTACAGGATCACATTCACAGCTCTGAATTCCTTCGCGTCAGCATACATGATAACTTTTCGCATTCCCTTCGAGACATTTGCACTGCAAAGAATCTTCTTCTTAGTTGTCTGCACACAGATTTTGGTTACAGTCTCGGCTGTACCTTCAATGCTGAATTGTAATCCTTTGACTCCAAACTTGCAGTACAGTCCCCACGGTGCAGTGACTATCGCGTCAAGCTCTTCCATCGCGTTCGTTCAGAATGGACAGACGTTCTCCTGCGGATCGAGTCTGCAAGCAGGAGGTCAGGCCACTGTGAGCTTTTCCAACCCTGGGAGGCAGTATCTTGTAGACGTCCTCTTCTCTTCCTCCGGTACTCCCATCAGCGGCGGGAGCTGCGGCGGCACAAGGATCATCAACAGCAACCCTACCATCAGTGTCCCTGCGTCAGGAACCATCACCATCAGAGCTGCCTGGGCCTCAAGCTCCGGGGGCAGAATCATGAGAACAGCTGATTGCACGTTTCAAGTACAAAGCTCTTCGTCCTCGTCCTCGTCCTCGTCCTCGTCCTCGTCCTCGTCCTCCTCAACAACTACCTCCTCTTCATCTCCAGCTTCTTCCTCCAGCACTGGTTCTACAGCAGAATCGTCATCAAACTACAACTACGTCGAGTTCGTCTATAACTTGCCGTTGCCGTCCACACAGTTCGCAGGTAAGACGTGGTGTACCCCAGGTATTTGCTGACTTTTGCCTCCAGCTGCTGAGCAGAAAGCATACATCAAAGCTGTGGCCACAGCGGCTGAGGTCGCAAGCAGTCAGGTGTTTGACTTGAAATGTGGTTCTGAGCTCGCTGACATGCTGAGGAGGTGGTTATCTACTCAACTTCGCAGCTCATCATGCGAAGGAGGTATATATAATACATCGGTTTGTTTCCGGGTGTTGGGTAAAGATGCCTTGCCAGTGTATCAGGGAAAAAGTTGCTGTCTGTCTCCCTTGCCGTGGATACTCGGGTACTACCTCTCTCCTAGATCGCTCGCTGTACTCACCTGTCAATCCCAGGTAGCTTCCACGGCTCAGACGTACGCCACGGTGATGCCGAGGACCAGCAAGCTGTTCAGTTCTGATTTCAACTGCGCAGGTACAAGCCAAGTTGACTCCGTCAAGAATAACGCAGGCGATTGTCAGTGAGGTAACTGGCGCAGTCATTCCTCCTCTTTCGGCTCGATTTCGCTGAGACTGTGCGAAGGGACTTCCTGCTGGGAAGGTCTTGAGCGGGGGAGCCACGTCAGGTATGGACCCCTCTCCTGCTGCCCCTGCTCGCTCCTAAACTTTCCATGCTACAGGAGTGCGCTCGCACCACAAAGAGGCCAGTCAAGTTGTTGGCTGCCTGCCCACGATTCCTAACATGCCTTGTTTCAGGGCCTGAGCTTTCTGCTCATTTCTTCAGTCGTTAGCGTGTTGTTGTTATCCCTGCACCTGTAAGTCCCTTGAGTTCATGTGTAATCATCTCTTTATTCCAACGCTCTGTTTTCTTTTGTGTAAATGTTTCATATCAAGGCCCGGCTGTTGTTTCCCCCCTGGAAACAAACTGAAAAAACACAGACATAAATGATTGCTCCATCCGGTCCCGTGATTTGCTCTATCCCTGAACGGCGGACTTGGTTTCCATGACTTCCATGATAGCCCGATCATCGGGATCCCGATGTTCTTTGAACACCAGGTGCTTCACTAAGATCGATCGTCAAGACCAGAATCTCAGTGACCGAACCTACCTTTTTTGGAATTGAAAACGATCGAGACGCAAATCAGCAGAATAATGTACAACGTCAACCTGTTGCAAATGGTCAAGGGCAGGTTTAACGACGGTCAGTCCTCAACCAAGGGATTCACAAAGTATCTCTCACCTCGTCTGCCGTGCGTCAACGAGCTGTATCCTTCTCGCGTCCACTAGCTCATGGGCATAATCCAGCTGGGCCTGTCCGTCAGTTCCCGACCTTCCACCTCACCCTCACCTTCTGATTGAGCAGGAACATTCGATGCCCCAACTCGAACTCAACCCATATCCGGTTGTACATCTCCTCCAATTCTGCGCGCTTTGTGATGAAACCAGCACTTTCGACTTCATGGAGTGTACCTGGTTTGTTCCAGTATGCTTTGGGTGTTTCCAGGCACCCTCGTAGATTGAGAACATCTCGTAGATACAAAATTTCTCCCATCTTCTGCAGAACGCGCCTAACAAAACACCTCTTCAGCCCGACACAGGTAGCGAGGCCAATCAGCGATGTTGCATACTTGTGGCCGGACTCTGAATGAGGGACAACGTTCAGAATGATGTCCTGAGGCATGGCTTTCAAACTAGAGGACATCGTGAGCAGACAGCTTCCAAGGAGCACTGTGACATGTTCACCTCCTGACCAGCGAGTTCATGTAGATTTCCAATCTATCCATCTTCACGCTCCTTTGCAAACCATGCGAGAGCGCAACCTGCAGCGCTTGAAAATAGATTCGAGCACCGGTCGTCGACAGCACCTTCTCTAGAGTGTTCTGCTGTATGCTCCACGTCTCGTTGGACGTCTCGTCATGGTGTGACAGGACAAGCATGTCCAACGCTGATGCAGGAATCAGGTGCTAACAACGTGCTTGCCAAAGAGTCTAAGAACCTTTGTCATAACCAAACTTCTCTCCGAAGCACCACTTCAGCTCCTCTCTCGAAGGCCCCTGGACTGGACAACAGATGAGGAGCAATCACCATCTGCAGTTCAAACCACCAGCCCCGATGATCGAAGGGAGGAACAGCTCATCTGTTCGAGTTTCCCGGAAAGGTTGAACGATAGATAGGATCTTGTTCTCATATTCCGCAGGAAACCCCCACAGCACCTGGTAGCCAAAAGATGAGATCAGCATGGCAGCGGCAGCTCATGGAAGCACGCTACACCATGGACCCGTCCTTGAAGATGAAGATGTCGCTGTTTCCGGTCTGGAAAGTACATCGTCAGAACGCAAACTTTCCTCACGCTGTTTCATCCCACCTTGTCGTCCATCGCTGGTGCCTTCTTACGGCTCGCGGAAGTCTTCTTCCCCTGGTTCAACGACACCGCGATGTGTGCCACCTCCGAGAAGAAAAGTTTGGGAATGCCGCCGAAGGTGTTGTTCAAAGCGTGAGCCGCTCCATGGAAGTCGAAGCCCTCGCCAGTAGCGCTGAAACAGAACGCCACGAGCCATCTAGGGTTGCAGCTGTATCGATCCTCTTTCGACGATGTCAGGGTGGAGATCTTCATGGCGTTCAGAGGTCGAAACAGGCGCCTCATCCCCAGCACGCTCGCCTTTGTGCACGACATGTGGTCCGTTGGAAGAGCGAGGGGTGTGAAAGGATGACAGAGAGGAGAGGAGAGGAGCAAAGGAGGAGGGAAGGAGGGGATATGGAAGGGAGGAGGAGGAGGAGGAGGAGAGACGGTAGGAAGGAGGAGGAGGGGAGACGGTAGGAAGGAGGAGGAGGGGAGACGGTAGGAAGGAGGAGGAGGAGCTGCTACGTTCTCATCCCCCTCACCCCTCCTGCGCAGTCGCCTGCACCTGCATTCCTGAAGGCTCCGACAGCCGCCGTAGGTTATTCAGGCTCCCCTCAGAGCATTCAGTAGAATTTGGAAAAGGCAGAGAAAGTGGAGTGGTACAGGGGGTACTACATGAAGGAGGGGTAAAAAATAAGGGGTGGTCAGGGTCAGCAAAGAAATCATCAATGTACAAAGGGGTACAATCATACGAAAAATAAGGGGTAATGGTGGTATAGAAAGGACCTATAGGGTAGGTGGATTGATTAGCAGCTCACGGGTAGGGTGGGGTACCTCTTGAGAGAAAGGCAGTAGAGGATCCTTGTCAAACATGTCGGATGCAATCGAAGAGTTGCGGGGGAGGGGAGGAGGAGGAGGAGAAGGAGGAGGAGGGGGGGAGGGGGGGGTGATGAGAGGGAGGGTGGAGGATGAGGATGAGGAGGAGGAGGAGGAGGAGGAGGAGGGAGGAGAAAGTCAAGACGGGGAGAGAGGGAGGAAGAGAAGGAGGATAGGGACAAGAGGGAGGAGGGCAAAGAGGAGGTTAAGGTATGTGAGAGTGAGGGTTGTGTTTACAGGGCCAAAGGAATTAGCAGAGTTAGGTAGCAGAGTTCAGGAAGTACTTTGAAACGCTTCTCTGATCTCGTTTGGCAGCTCAGTAATGTTGTAATCCCCATCACCAGCAATCTTGTGGAGCGATGGATCGTCGGCAGCTCATCGCCATTACTTTGGCCTTTGTGTGCTTGGGGATCTTGATAGCTGAACTGCTCGTCTACAACATCGGCAGAAGCTTAAGGATCCTCAAGGAGCCGCCGCAATGGGGGCTGACCAAGTTCCTGATGCGCCTCGGGCTCCTGCGAGCGAGGGGAAGGAATGAGGTGCGAGTAAGCTCACGCCCCTTGCTTCTTCATCACCCCCGTGCTCTTCCAGCTGCCGCCGCCGAAGATGACGAAGGAGGAGAAGTTCGTCATGGTGGTGACCATTCTTGAGCTGGCCCTGGGACTGGTAAGTGGTGCTGTGCCTCTGATTCCTTGTTGTTGTCATGCCATGTGAAATGCTCTCCCCGATTGCAGGTCAACTTCGTCGCAGCATGGCTTGCCACGAGCTTGCCGCTGTATGGCATCCAGAAGACTTGCGATTACGGGATAGAGATGGAGAACAAGTGCTCTGACATGCAGAAGGGTTGCAACCTGAGGTGCGGGGGGCCAGACTTCAAGACCTGCGGGTCTCAGACCTGCAATGTGGACTTCTGCTCTCAAAACTTCGGCCTGATCTTGGAGGTGTGCCCACTGAGAGGTTATGTGGTGAGCGAGCGCTGACTTGACATCTTGCAGCCGATCGCCGACGCTTCTGACTTGTGGAGCAAGCTGAACAACGAGATCACAAACGTCCAGTGTATCGCCAACCTCATCGGTGTCCTCTTGTCTTGGGCCATCGTCGCCGTTCCGGGCCTTCTTGCAGCTCTCCGCACGTCAGTGGAAGCTCTGATGTTTGCCAACATGTCTTCGGCGTGCTGCTCTCCCCTCTTCCTGGGGCTGGGACTCTGGATTATCATGTACACCAAACAGATCAAAGACGCGTGCGGGAAGCATCCCAATAGCCCCACGCTCTCGTGCAGTGACTCGATCGCCGAGGGCCTCTTCGATGCGCTGTGCGCACAGAACGACTTCGGGATAGGGCTGACGGAGTCCTACATCCTGCTGTCCTCCGTCACCCTCATCATCCAAGGGTTCGCTTGCGCCATCTTCTCCACGGTGATGTACCTACAGCGGAACGCGTTCGTGGCGCACAACAAGAGGAGGCTGGAGCTGTTCAAGAGCGCGGTCTCGTTCGAAGAGATGATTCGGAGCGAGAAGAGGCAGAACGCGCAGCGGCAGCAGGAGCGAAACATAATCGACAAGACTCTCGTCTTCAACGAAGGGTTCGTCCAGTTCCCCGGGCTGCTGCAGATCTTCAAGGGCCACACCCGGGGCGTGAGCTGCATGCAAGTGGTAGAGTTCAACGGCAGGTCGTGCATGATCACAGGCAGCCAGGACGGCAGCATCTTGATCTGGTCGATGGAGACAGGTACCTACCTTCGCAGGATCTCCGCGCACTTCTCCTCGGTGGTCGGCGTGAAGGCCTTCTGGAAGTTTGACGTCAACCGGCAGTGCAGGAAGTCGCGGGTGATGTACAAGACGACATCCCCCATGTGGGACGAGACGGATGCTCAAACGTTCCACATCAAGTCGGACAACCAGCTCATCTGGGTCAACCTCTATGACGCGAAGAGGTATGGCAACGACGAGCTGATCGGAACTTGCACGTTCCTCCTCTCGGAATACAAGAAATCTTCCAGAGATTTCACGAACGTTTTGTCTTTGAAGTTGTACGACTTGTCCGAGTTCGCTGGGCAGACGACGCAGGAAACTTCTGACAAGCCGATGGAAAGTCACCAGGTGAAACCCTCCACCTCCTTTCTCGTCTTCCTATGTCTAATCGCCTCCTGCTTCTCCTCCTCTCGGTCCTTTCTGCCCCCTTCCCGCTTCGTTCCTTGTCTCGTCCTCGTTCGCCTCTTTCTCCTCCTTCCTCTGCCTTTCTTCTCGTCCTTCTCATCCTTCGCCAGATCTTCTCCTATGGCAAGTTGGTCGCCGGGATGAGCAGCCAGCCTGAGAGCAACAAGACGTCTGGACTTCCGCCTGCTGTCCCGTTGGTGGGAACGATCGTGTTGAGGCTGGACTACAAGGAAGATCCGAAGAGCTTCAGCCTGGTCCCCTTTGAAGCCAGGATCATGACGGAGGGTTTCCTCTCCTCTTGCAACCCTTACCTCCAGTTCAACGTGGAGGAGACTCCGAGCCAACACTTCGTGTCGGCGGGAGATGACGAGTGCAAGCTGTGGTGCATGGAGACCGGGAGGTGCCAGATGGTGTACAAGGGCCACTCGAACCTCGTGACGTGCGTCGAGGTGCTGAGAGTGATGAACAGGGACGGGGAGAGGAACTTCCTCCTTTCTGGCTCTCAGGACTGTACCGTCCGCCTCTGGAGCATGCTCAAGGGAACGTGTCTGAAGATCTTCACAGGGCACCTCGACTCCGTGACTTCCCTCTGCATCCACAACAAGTTGGACAAGGAGGAGGAGCAAGTGGACTACACGGACTACCAGGAGGACGTGGAGGTGAGGATGAAGCTCCGGTGCAGGGAGAGGGAGAGCGCGGATCGCATCTCCTACACCGTCGACGTCAACATCGAGAGGCTGCGAAACACGCAGAGGCTGGTCGACAAGGACGTGAAGAGCGTGTGGCTGACAGTTGCGTGCGGCTCCTCCTCCTTCTCCACCAGGTCGAGCTCTCTCCGATCCAACTGGATCTTCGAGGAGAAGTACACCTTCGAGGAAGTGAGCAAGTTGGACCAGCTGGTCTTCGTCCTCTATGCTGGGGGGAAGCTGGGGATGAAGAAGTACCTGGGATACGTCGAGTTCGAGGCAGAGGAGGTCATAGCTAACGGAGGGGAGGAGGTGGACGAGGACTGGTACCCCGTCAGCTTCTTCCCTAGGAGCAGCTTCTCCCTCTTCACCGGCACGGGGAACGCGGAGGGCAAGGTTCGGATGTTCGACGTCCGGACGGCCGTCTGCGTCACGGAGGCAGGGGCGCATTCGAGCATGGTCAGCGCCCTGGTGATCGCGGACATGTACGGGAAGCAGAGGCTCTTCAGCTCCTCCTGGGACCGCACGATCAAGATCTGGAAGTTCACCCCGAGCTCCATGGAGTGCGTCCGCAGCATCGCGCTGGAGACTGACGTGCTGAGCATCTGCGTCGACCGCCTGCAGACCCCCTACACGTGGGTCATCACCGGATGCAGCGACTGCACTGCCAAGATGGTGAAGCTGCCGGTGGAGGACGTCGGGAGCTCGCGGTGGAAGAAGGTGCTGGGGAGCATGCTTGACAGCCCGAGGCTCTTCTTCGTCATCATGACTTGCATCCTGGTGGACATGATGTCCGGGATCCTGACGGACTTCGCCATCTCCTCGGACAGGAAGGACTGCTTCGGGAGAGATTCCTACGTCTCCCTTGCCATCACAGGCTCCATCCTTGCTTTCTTCCTCATCGAGCTCCTCCTGCGCATGCTCGTTCACGGCAAGAGCTTCTTCGTCCCCTGCTCCAACTGCCTGTGGAACTACCTCGAGGTCCTCATCATTACCGTCAGCATCGCCGTTGTCGCCTTCAAGGCTTACAGTGACTGGACCACGAGCGTCCCAGCAGGAGCAGAGCACCCGGTGATCAGCTGCCACAACCACCCCGAACTGTGCGGAGACGCCTGCGCCACCACCACCACCACCACCACCACCTCCACCTCCTCCTCCTCCTCCTCCTCCTCGCCGATCAATCTCAAGGCCATGCAGAAGTCTTTTACAGCTGCGAGGATCATCTCGAGAATCGCCATCGGTCTCAGGATCCTCCGCATCATCGCAAAGGCCTCGCAGCTCGCTCGCTCCTACCTCGGCAAGACAGTTGCGACGTTCCATGGGCACGAGAAGCGGGTGAACGTGGTGGCTGTGGCAGGAGGAAGGGAGCAGCGGATCTTGACAGGCTCGGAGGACGGATACGTCCGCCTATGGGATGTGGCGTCTTGAGGGGGAGGAGCCGGAGAAGAGGAGGGGAGAGGAGAGAGAGCGAGAAAGTTGACAGAGAAAGGTGGGTCAAAGGAAGAAACGCGAGGGAGAGAGACGAGGAAGGGGAGGCCTGACACGTAGGACAGACAGATGCGATGGTGCTTGAGGAGGAAGAGGAGGAGGAGGAGGAGGAGGAAGAGGAGAAGGAAGAGGAGGATGAAGAGGAGGATGAAGAGGAGAATGAAGAGGAGGAGGAGGAGGAGGAGGAGTCATAAATGGATCATAAAATGAAGCGTCAGCTCATAAAAATCTTTATGTGTGTAGAAATCGGTCGTCCTCGTCGGGCGCGCTCCTTGGGGAAAGAGAGGCATCCATGCTCTATGAGGGGAAGGGTTGTGAGCATCGGGAGAGTAGGAAGGGAGCAAAAGTAGTGAAGGAGACAGAAGGGAAGAAGAGGAGAGGAAAGGAGTGAAGGCCATAGATGGGAAGAAGAGGAGAGGAAAGGAGTGAAGGCAATAGATGGGAAGAAGAGGAGAGGAAAGGAGTGAAGGCCATAGATGGGAAGAAGAGGAGAGGAAAGGAGTGAAGGCAATAGATGGGAAGAAGAGGAGAGGAAAGGAGTGAAGGCCATAGATGGGAAGAAGAGGAGAGGAAAGGAGTGAAGGCAATAGATGGGAAGAAGAGGAGAGGAAAGGAGTGAAGGCAATAGATGGGAAGAAGAGGAGAGGAGTGTAGAGATTAAATGAGGTGTGATGAGAGAGGAAGGGAGAGGAGGAGGGAGGAGAGGAAGAAGGGGAGAGGAGGAGGGAGGAGAGGAAGAAGGGGAGAGGAGGAGGGAGGAGAGGAAGTAGGGGAGGGGAGGAGGGAGGAGAGGAAGAAGGGGAGGGGAGGAGCTTGCCTGAAGGCTTCGGACGCTGGAAGTGTCGGTGGTTGGACGGCCAAGGGGAGTAGAAGCGGAAAGGCTAGGTGGATTCTGCTTCTTTCCTGCAGGAAGCCGAGTTTCAGAAGTGACGATGACGATGACGATGACGATGACGATGACAACATAATGACAATGATGTATCATGACAATGATCATGAAGATATGTGATGATGTATGATGTATGATGATGATGTAAGATAATGTATGATGATATGTAATGAGAATATATGATGATTATGATACACGAATGATATGATCATTCTCGGAGTCTCATCATCAGTCTCATCATCATCTTGACGGGGCTCGTCTCTGATGATGATATATTTTGATACGTGATATGCTATGAGATGCTGCTGCTGCTGCTGCTGCTGATGATGATGATGATGATGATGATGATGATGATGAATGATATGATCATGAATTTGTGATGATTATATGACAAAGACGATAATACAGGATGATGATAAGCAGGTGAAAGGATCGCAAAGGATGGGAGTTTTGTTTACCCGAGACAACTGCGAAGATTTCTTTTCGAATCTTGTCGATCTCCTGCAAGTTCACATTACAGAAATTTCACTCCATCCTCCTTGTCCCTCTCCTGATTCTCTTTTTTGGGTCCTGGAAAGGTCTTTCCCCCCCATTTCTCTTATCTCTCCCCACCTGTGCTCTGCTCTGCTCTGCTCTGCTCTGCTCTGCTCTGCTCTGCTCTGCTCTGCTCTGCTCTGCTCTGCTCTGCTCTGCTCTGCTCTCTCCTTCTCTACTCTGCTTGCTCCTCTGGCTTCCTCCTCCCCTGGCCTTACCAGCTGAGTCCCGTGCATGGTGAGGTCGAGGAAGGCTCGATTCTTCTCCGTCAGCTTCTCCTTCCACCTTTCTACTGCATCAGCATAGCCAGCAAGGAGGAGGTGAAGGTAGACACAGAGGAGGAGGTGGTGAAGGTAGAGACAGAGGAGGAGGCGAAAGTAGAAATAGAGGATGAGGAGGACGTGACGGTAGAGGTAAAGGAGGAGGTGGTGAAGGTAGAGACAGAGGAGGTGGTGGTGAAGGTAGAGACAGAGGAGGAGGTGGTGAAGGTAGAGATAAGAGGAGGAGGAGGCGAAGGTACAGATAGAGGAGGAGAAGGTGGTGAAGGTAGAGATAAGAGGAGGAGGAGGCGAAGGTACAGATAGAGGAGGAGGAGGTGTGAAGGTAGAGACAGAGGATGAGGCGGCGAGGGTACAGATAGAGGAGGAGGAGGTGGTGACGGTAGAGGTAAAGGAGGAGGTGGTGACGGTAGAGACAGAGGAGGAGGTGGTGAAGGTAGAGACAGAAGAGGAGGTGGTGAAGGTAGAGATAAGAGGAGGAGGAGGCGAAGGTACAGATAGAGGTAAAGGAGGAGGTGGTGTGAAGGTAGAGGTAAAGGAGGCGGCGGCGAGGGTACAGATAGAGGAGGAGGAGGTGTGAAGGTAGAGGTAAAGGAGGAGGCGGCGAGGGTACAGATAGAGGAGGAGGAGGTGGTGAAGGTGGAGGTAAAGGAGGAGGCGGCGAGGGTGGTGGAGCAGCAGGACAAGGTGATTTACCTCATGAAGTTTTCGAGGGTGAGAGATCGAGAAATCTTCCCCGCCATCCTCTGCTGTCGCTTCTTCCTCACCATCAGCGCTTTCCATGCCAGGAAGAGCTCGACGCTCTTCCTCGACCCCTGGGAGCTCAGGAGCACCACGATCCGTCTCTTGATCTTTCGCTGCTCCCCGCACAGCAGCCACCATCGCCGTACGAGGTGAGCGAGGTGCTTGTGCTGCAGCTTGAGGACGAGTCTATCCAGGGAGGCGTCCTTGTCCTCGAAGAACGTCTTGATCTTCCAACGGTACAGGATGCTGCACAGGGGAAGGAGGGAGGACGGTTCGACGGCCCGGAGGAGCGAGGGGAGGAGCAGCACTGAGAGGCTGGCAGGTTGTCGAGAGCCTTTGCCGAGCCTGAGCCCTGCGATCGATCGAGAGGGAGAGAGGAGGAGGAAAAGCATCATCGTCCTCCTCGTCTGCTCCATGCGGTACATCTGAGCTGAGATCGGATCCAGCCGCATACATCCCGTCAGCCTCGCCTGCCACTTCACGTCAAGAATGTTCAAGAGGACAAGGGGACGTACGTCAGCAAGGATGAGGGAGACGGCCAGGCGGTTCCAGAGCAGGCGCGGAATGACGAGAGTTTCGAGCCAGCAGCGGAAGGAGAGGAGGAGGAGGAGACGGTGGTTCTCCGGCGCAGCAGCTTTCCGCCTGCAGATGGCGATATCAATGCCCTGGACGAGCACCTTGCAGCGTTCTTGAGGGACAAGTTGAAGGTGGGTTAGGAGTAGATGAGCGCACTTGTAGCGCGAGCAGCTACTGAACATCTTCCAACAATGAAAGAAAGTCGATCTCAATTGGAGCTGCCTCCTCCTCCTCCTCCCCTCCACAAGTCTTGCCGCCATTGAAGAACGATAGAGCAGCGATTTCCAACTGATCATGACGGACGACAACGAGAGAAAGTTTTTCCTCCCCCTCCTCTCCTCCATCCTCCTCCCAATCACCAGCAGCCTCCTCCAAGAACGGCAAACGAATGCAAGAACCTCCCTCTTTCCCCTGCTCCTCCTCCGCTCCTCTACCTCTCGCCCTCTCCTCCTCTTCCACGTCCACCCCCTCCAGCCCGCTACCGCCTGCCCCTTCGCTGCCTCCTCCCGTCGTCCCCCGAGCCGTCTTGCTTCCTCTGTTTTCCTCTCTGCCCTCTCTGCGTACTCCTTCCACGCCTCTAGCCCCCTCCTTCCCGTCCGCTCGTCGGCCTGCCGCATCAGCCTCCTCGCCCTCCTCCTCGCCCCTGCCAGCCTCGCCAGCGACGCGAGCGTCTCAGCCAGGCGTCGTCTTCTTCTCCTCGCTGCCTCCCGCTCTACCGCCGCCGCCTCCCTCCTCCTCGTCGCGACCCATAACCCCCACCTCCTCCATCCCTCTCGCGCCTTGTCCTGCTCTCGCCTCGTCTCCCTCCTCGCCACCGCTGTCGTCTTCCTCCTCTGCTGCGTCGCCTCCGCCTCTTCCCGTGCCCTCGCCCTCCTCGCCGCCCCTCCTCTGCTCTCCTCTCAAGCGTCTCCACAGCATGCTCAAGCCTCCTCGCCTCCTCCTCCATCCCCGCCAGCGACTTCCCGATCATCGACGCCGCCGCCTCCTCCTGCCTCAGCCTCGCCTCTACCTCCTCCCTCCTCTCTTGCTGTCTTGCAGCTGAGCTCTCCGCAACCCCTGCCTCCCGCTGCCTCCTCCACCCCTCTAGCATCCTCTGCAGCAACCGCACCCGCACCAGCGTCTCTGCGCGCTCTTCCGCCTTCCCAAGCCATCGCTTCCTCCAGCCCTCCTCCCTCCACCGCCGCCAGCTCTCCGCCTTCCTCCGCCTCTCTCCCCGCCTCGTGCCCCACCCCACCGCCCGCTCTCGCTCTCGCCTCCTCCTTGTCCGCCAAGCCCACACCTCCAACGCCTCCGTCATCGCCCTTCTCGCCTTGCCTCGCCTCCTCCCCTCTGCCTCTGCCTCTGCCTCCCGCCTCCTCGCTGCCTCCCGCCTCCACGCCCCAAGTGCCGAGCTCCTCGCTGCCTCCTCCAGCCCTCGCCGTATCCCTCGCAGCCGCCGATCTCGTCCTCGCAGCGCTCGCCACCTCCTCACTGCCTCCCAGCACAGCCTCCTCGTCCTCCGCTCCTCCACCTGCCCTCCCTGCCTCCGCCGCCTTGCCTTGACTCTCCTCCACTCCCGCCACATCCCTATCACCTCTCTTGCAAGCCGCTGCTGTGCCCTGCTCCTCCTCCGCTCCTCTACCTCTCGCCCTCTCCTCCTCTTCCACGTCCACCCCCTCCAGCCTGCTACCGCCTGCCCCTTCGCTGCCTCCTCCCGTCGTCCCCCGAGCCGTCTTGCTTCCTCTGTTTTCCTCTCTGCCCTCTCTGCGTACTCCTTCCACGCCTCTAGCCCCCTCCTTCCCGTCCGCTCGTCGGCCTGCCGCATCAGCCTCCTCGCCCTCCTCCTCGCCCCTGCCAGCCTCGCCAGCGACGCGAGCGTCTCAGCCAGGCGTCGTCTTCTCCTTTTGATTGTCATGGATAGGGCAAGGAGGTAGGTAGAAAGACTTCGATGCCTATGCAGCTGCCGGTCTCGCACGCGAGTTCGCCAGTCATGGAAGGAGAGCCGGAGGACGCGGGTCAGTCTCGACCTGCTCCAGGAGACCAGCAGACCAGAGGTTGTACATCCGCTGCCAGCAGGGAGCTGACTCGCTGCATGCTGCAGGTTTGCCAAGGACTTGCTCTCTCTTCCCCTTGCCGTGACCTCCTGCCAGCAGTCAAATGCTACACCTTGACATTCCCTGCTCCTCCTCCTTCTCCTCCTCCCGAGCTCCTCCGCTACTGCCTTGCTGTCCGAGAAGTCTGCAAGGCTGGCAAAAATGATCCTCAGGAACGTTCGCTCTCTCCCCTCCTCCACCTTCTTGACGATGCCTTTCTGCCTCTTCCTCTTCTCCCACCACATCCTCCACCGTTCTATCGCCTCCTTCTCGCTGCTCCTCCTCTCACGCTCCATCAACTGATCGCACCTCCTCCCTCGAGCGTTTCTCGCAAGCTGCTCGTCTGCCCAGCAGCAGAAGATCTGCTGGACAAGGAGACAGTCTCTCTTCCTGCTCTCCCTCTCGCTCCTCCTCCCTATCCCTCTCCTCTTTAACCACCTCCACCAGCACACCAGCACCTCTCCTACCCGACGGGACCAGACCGTCTGTCGTATGTGCTTTTGTGTGCTGCACACGTTCATCCAGTACGTCATCCTATCCTTCTGCGCTTGTTCTGACCTCCTCGCAACCTTCCAAGAAATCTCCGCAAGCACAGCAAGGGAGTCTTGATACGCACGGTACCAAACATGAAACAAGCTGCAGCACCGCCTCCTGTCCACCTCATGTACAACCCTGGACAACAACATGTCCTGCAGTGCTTTCCTCTCTACAACTGACGACCATCCTCGCAGCAAGTCAGCGCACAGACTCGCTCTCTTCTTGCGCGTCTGCGACAACCTCGCACATATGCAGGCAGTCTGTCTTGCAGCCCTGTAAAGCGGACTGTGACGGCGAGCAACTGCCTTCCACCTCAACAGAAATGTCAAGGTCGTGCGATGATGTGACTTTCTGATGCTGAACTTGACGAAGGAGAGGCGGAGGAGGTGAGATTTCTCGACGTGGCCCACCCAAACTTTCCAATGATGGATAAGGATGTGCGCAAGCCACCTGAAAGCAAGAGGGTGAGGAGAGACGGAGGGGGAAGGGAGGCGGAGTGATGTTGTACAAGAGGGAGAGAGTGAGGGGGAGAGAGTGGGAGGGAGCGAGGGAGGGAGGGAGGGAGGGAGAGGGGAAGAGAGGGATAGGGGAGGGGAGGGAGAGAGGGGAAGGGAGGGAGAGAGGGGAAGGGAGGGAGAGATGGGAAGGGAGGGAGGGAGAGGGGAACGGAGGGAGAGGCAACACAACAACAGAGCAACACATCATGACGAGCTGGTGTCGTTTCTTACCCAAGTGTGAGGTGATACTCGATATGATGGATGTGCTTTCTGCCGTTGACAATTTCACTCCATGAGATCATTGCCCTGTACATTTCCTCGCGGCTCCTCCCTTGCAAGCACTGCGACAGAAGACTCTTCCTCCCTGACCTTAGCGCCGCCCAGCTCGACCAGTCCTGGCAGAGCTGGACGAGGAGGCGACGACAACAACGGTCGGAGATTGTCTGTGAGCTGATCTGGTAGAAGGAGCAAGCATGGAAGTATTGCTGCCAGCGGCTGAGGACAGCTTGTAGGTTGAGAATGATCCATCGGATCTTGAAGCGAACGACCGTTGACTTCCTGTGCGATGCTGCTCTGCACAACCCCTGCCACCTCCCCCAACTCTCTTCCATCTGCGCCCTCCTCCTGCTCTGCTTCAGCTGCTCTCCAGCTGTCCTCGTCATCCTGTTGTGTTCGACCACCGACAGCCATGCTTGAACGAACTGTGACGTCACCGTCTGGCCCCTCCATGCGGGAAGCTCATCTCTTATCCTCGCAAGCCCGTTCATCCTCGAGCACAAGACCCTCCACTCAGTCAGCGCATCCTCCACCATCGTCCTCTCCCACTTCCATCGCCTTTCCCTGATGTTTGCTCGCTGAAAGAAGGCCACGTCCGCTAGCAGATTCCACCTCCTCACCGACTCCTGCAGCGTCCTCTTCCTCCTCTGCAGCCCCATCGCCCGGGTCGTCCTCCTCCTCCATATCGATCGCAACGTCACCGCATTCCATGAGCAGACGGCAGCAGCCCTCCTGCGGGAGGCGTTGCGACCCTGGCACGTCTTCTGGATTTCAAAGTAGCATCTCCTTTCCTCCCACCAGCCTCGCCATGTCCGGAAGCACCTCAGACTCTTGTCGATGTAGCTTGCAGCAATCCTCGCCCTCTCTGCAGAGTTTGCAACCACAACCACCCTCGTGCACTCTTTCTGCCTTTGCTGCAGTCCCTCCAACTTCACCTCATACCATGACAGGAAGCAAAGCTCCATGTGGTGCTCCCGACGCTTCCGTTGGATCTTCAAGCTGATCGCATCCAGCCTTGATCTGCAGGTGCTCCGTTCCCTGAGCCAGGATACTGTCCGTGACATGCTTGCTGCCTGTCCTCTCCTTATCACCCTTACCCTCAGCTTCTCAATCTCGTCTCTCCTGATAACATTGTCTTCTACCTCGTCCCTCCAACACGACCAGACTCTTGCCGTCAACCCCAGTGTGAAACTTCTTGTTTGCCGCTCAAATCTTTCTATCAGCATGAATACATCCCCCAAGCTCTCTTCGCACGCGCGTTCCTTTGTTCTCTGCTGCACCCGTTCCTTCCTGCTCTTCTGGTCTATATGCTCCCACATGCTCCGAGCCCTTTGAGCATTGACACGTTCGTCGCTCTCAGCCTCTTGCTGCTGCTGCTGCTGCTGCTGCTGCTGCTGCTGCTGCTGCCTTCCATCTCCCGCCTTGACTTGTTCCCGAGCTGCGCAAGTTCTCCGATACTGCAGCAGAAACGTCATCTTCAACAGCAACTTATCGTTGGTGGCGATCGGCTTGTTCTTGCACAGACTCTCCGTCACCGCAAAGGAGCAGCTGTAAACTCTGAGTAATCTGAACGCCCTCGAGCACAACTTGAACTTGAAATAATCTACAGGTCGCCTCGTCCCCACCGAACAAATCTGCTGTGAAGCCTCTCCACCCGCCCCTCCCCAGCAGCCAGCGAGCTGCTGAGGCTGGCAACGGCTGAGCTCTTGAGAGGGAGGAGGGAGGGAGGAGTGACTGACTGCCATGCTCGCAATGTGGACGACTGTATCTCTACTTTCCTCCTCGAGTCTCGTCCTCTGAGAAGCTTCCGGGTGTTCATATTTCTTGACAGCAGACTGAAACTCCTTGCCAGCCCCTGCCTCATTGCCTTCGCAGTCAAAGACTGACAGAGCTCCCGCAGTTGCTTCTTGTAGAATGCTACGTCCTTCCATGACAGGATAGCAAACCTCTGCGCCAAGAGTGCAGCCTGTGAAACAAGGCAGCGGGTGACGCCGCGAGAGCAGTTTGCTTCCAAGTCATCCGAATTGACATCAAAGATCGTGAGAAGATCCTCAAGGAGAGATCGCTGCTCCTGATGATCGCGTTCCTGGCTTGTCTTGACCATGCTGAGGATCACTTTCCTCCCCAGCCTCTGAGTTCGTCGACAAGCGCTGTTCTTGACTTCACCTGTCCACAGATGGAAGAAATCTCGGACCATATCTTGCAAATAGAGGGGATGCTTGTTCCAACTTTCCACGTCCTTCTCAACCGCCATTCCGCTGCGCGTGTGCACGAAGATTTTCCACCCGTTGAAATATCTGGAGAGGAAGAGGGCGAGCCGGAAATCGTGGTCGACATGGTGGGCAGGGAAGTTTGCGATGAGTCCCAAGGAGTTTTTCATCCACAGCAAGAGAAACTTCTTCTTCGTTCTGCAGTCACTGCAGCGAGGAAGTCAGCAGGCTGGATGGTGGAGGCTCTGAGCACAAAGATTTCTCATCTCATCTCACCTGACAGAGACGTATGTTCCCATCTCTTGGACAGCCTCCAACCAGCTCTTGAAGGCTCCCGACATGCTACATTGACCTCTCCTCCGCTCGACGACAGCACAACATTGTGTCCGCCATGACATCTTGTGGACCTGTAACGAGAGTCAAACTCACGCGCATGTCTTTGGAGGGCAGGCTGGTGGACGAACCAGAGGAGGCGCTGCTTGCCCAGTCGCAGCGAGCTCAGCACAGCCATACGTTGGACTTGACGAGTGGGGGGCGAGGAGGAGGGAAGCTTCGAACCAGGCTTCGAGGAAACTCATCATCAAAGACTTGTTCCGGCCTTCCACAACCTGGCCCTGCTCCTCATTCAGTCGCTGACAGTGACTGGACCAGAAGGTCAAGACGTTGCGCAGCCCCTTGCGCGAGTGGAGGAGCCCAACTCTGCGGGTCTGTGCTGACCTCAGCCACAGCGTCGTCCACCTCTTGAAGCAGATGAGCGACTGACGGCGAGATCGGAGGAGGAGGAGGGAGAGGACGAGTTGTTCGGACGATAGCGAGGAGGGGAGATGAAGATGCTTGTGATGTGAGGACGGCGGGGCTTCTTCAGAGTTCAGACAATCTTCGATTCCACAGAGATCGGTCCATGCACAGAGAATACTTGTCAACACCCTCCGTTCACGTATGCTGCTGCACCTTAGGAGAAAGTCGTTTCTCCTACGGCGAGAGATTGAGATGTCAGACCAGTGCAAGAAAGATTTTATCCCGGTTCTCAGGGTCGTTCCCCTCGCTCGACTGTTGATCAGACGTCTGATCCTCCTCGTATGTTCACACCATTGCCACCAGTGTGACAAACTTCTTCTCAAGTGCCTTGCCATGCAGAAGTGAGACGACTTTAGAGGAGGGTTGAGGTTTCGGCAGAGCAGGTAAAAGTCGAGCCAGAGTTCCAGAGCGGTGGACAGCCGTTCCTTGTCGAGCCTTCGTCTCTGCCGGTCCAACAAGCTGCTCCGGAAGTCGCGTTCCACAAGGCTCAGTTTCAAGTTGTTGAAAGCCTTCTTGACAGACTGCCTCTTGTATGAGGACACCATGCACTTACAGACGCGCTCGAGCGATCTTGAGGTGATCGAGTTGGCGATGCACACAAACTTGTTCCAGCCCGAGAAGTACCTCATGACAACCTTGGAGTCCATCCGCAGCATGATGTGAGAGGAGCTCTTCTTGATGCTCGACCTCCGATCGGCCAAGAACTTCCAACAGAAAAGGCACTCCCGGGCCTTCATCGAGACAACTTTGCATGCCACATTATTCTGAATTTCCGAGAAAATTTTCGTAGTCTTCGAGCGGTTCGACCACTCTCTAAGATGGAAAGACAGTGACACAAACCTCCTGCTTGTCTGGATGATCGAGGTAGTCCTAGCCAACCCCAGCCTCTGCTGAAACTTGGATTTCCACGCACCCCAACTCTCAGAGCAAACCTTTCTGCTCTTCCGCCTCTGCATAAGGCGGATGTAATGCTGTGCTAGGTCAACATGGCTGTTTGCAGGTGCTTGCAGTTGAGGAGGAGGAAGGAAAGGAGCAGAAAAGATTTCCTCAATCTCCCCCTCGTCCCGCCTTGTGTGGGAAGTTCCATTGGCGACTAGAGGGAAGTCTTGATGCAGGTGCTGCGCAGTTTCCTTATCGGCAGCCTCGATCGCGTTGGAGTGGGACTCTCTCTTGAGCTGAAAGTTCTCGGATTGCAGCTCGTTCACCTGGTGGTGCAAGTTGTAACATTTGATCTTGAGGGAGCCGATCTCCTGGACCAGCTTTAGCTTCTGTAGCTCGAAGCTTTTCTTCTGCCACTCCAGATCTCGCTTGTGGTTGTCCTGAAAACGAGTAGCGATGTCGTTGAGCAAAGAGTTCGACGGAGTTGCCATATTGGACAATTTATAGTTACAATGCGCTACCTGGGCATTTCTTTACTTGAAGGACGATGTCAAACAACATGGTGAACCAAGCCATTTCGCTGTGATCGGTGAAAGTAGCCTGTCAAAAAGCAGTGTCAACACTAAAAAACAATTCTATCCATGCATTGTCACACTCAGGCTTACACTCCTTGTTTGTCCTCCTCAAATCATCAACCAATGTGATGGTTGAGGGTCAATGTCAACTGATCTGTCTAGTTTGGTTGACGCAGTGGTGTTCCTCCTCCACCCCCTCACTTCCCCCTCCTCCTCCTCTTCCTGCACCCCTCGCTGTCCGTCCCCCTCCTGTCTCGGCATCGGCCGGGAATCGGACACAGTGACAGCTTGTCACTGACCGTTATGAAAAGTTTGACTGAAACATTTAGTTAAAAAAAGGTGATTCTCGTCGATTCAAATTGATTCAATTCATTTTAGTTTTTGATAGTCCACCCCTGCCACTCGAACCACATGTACCCCCCCACGCACCAGGCCTACCCCTCCTCCATAGGAAACCTAAAAGTCCCACCCCAGAAGGTCCCTGTCGGAAAATGAAAATAGACTGGGGCTGACCCGAATGCAAGGGGTGGTGGATAAAAGGACTAGCGAGAAGGGGTGGTCGGGGGGGTGGTTGTTGGCGGATGGGATACGGGTGGGGTCAGCTTTCTGTTGGTATCAGTAGCGGTACCCTTGAGACGGGGGTGATGAAAGCTGGAGGAGATGGTAGGGGTAGCAGGTGTTGACATGTGAAACACTGGAAGGCGGCAGAAGGCCGAGTAGGGTAGGTAGTATGCGTCGTGAAGGGGTGGTTGAAACTACACTGGTGGGGTTATGGGGAAGTAAAGTAGGTGGGGGAACGGGGTGGACAGAGGAATCGGGGGTCACAGGACCCCTGGAAGGGTTCAACTACCACGGGTCCCTGATAAAAGGTTTCGAGATAATCGAGATGCTGGTATGCATGGGTAGGGTAGGTTGGTCCGTTGGTGCACCAGGGTTGTTGTGTGCCCAGGAAGGGACGGAACGGGGGTGGTTTTCGTTTCGGAAAGATGGGTACTAAACATCCTTTATAGGGAAAGGGGTGGGTGGTATATTCGAACGGGTGTAGTCCTCCGCAGGGGTAAGGGGTGGGGGGGGGGGTAGTGGGTGGGGTGGAGAGGGGAATTTGAAACAGCAGAGGGCGGGAAGGCATGGCGGTTGGTGCAGCGGATGAGAGCGGGGTACCGCTTGCTGGATGAGAGAAATGATTGGGGTTAATGTAAGAAGAGCAAATAACGCAGCTAGCTATCTTCCTCTCATATCTGAGGTAGCAGTTGGATGTCTCATGGAAAGCAAAGAATAGCACATAGCAATTTTTTGACGAATGGCGAAGCGAGGGCAACAGTGAGGGTCCGCTCAACATATTGCAGAGGCACCTCATATGAAGAAAATGAGATGCGCACATTAACATCTTCTTCCTTGCATCCTAGTATTAGATCAAGTTGATGAGAAACATGGAAACACATGGAAACAGACCAAGATTTCTTCAGCTTTCTATGCGGTGATTGACATTCTTTACCTAGGTTTCCTGCCCGATTGGATTGGATAATTTGTTACAATGGCTGGTACGCTTTATATACCTTGAGAAAATATTTGAGGCGATGTAATCGAAACCTCAACAGATCAACTTACTGAGGAGCAAATCGCCGAATTCAAGGAAGCGTTCTCGCTTTTCGACAAGGACGGTGATGGCACAATTACCACCAAGGAGCTTGGAACTGTTATGCGCTCCCTCGGACAGAACCCGACTGAGGCTGAGCTTCAAGACATGATCAACGAAGTAGATGCGGACGGAAACGGAACCATCGACTTTCCCGAATTCTTGACGCTCATGGCCCGTAAGATGAAGGATACCGACTCCGAGGAAGAGATCCTCGAGGCATTCAAGGTCTCCTTGTGCAAGACCCGGTTATTCTCTTGGGTTTGAATGATTGTTCAGGTTTTCGACAAGGATGGAAATGGGTTTATCTCAGCTGCTGAATTGCGCCACGTCATGACCAATCTTGGAGAGAAACTGACTGACGAGGAGGTCAGTATTCCATCTGCGTTCTTGGCTTGATTTATGAAAGTTTCGCACTTGAATGCATACTTACTGTTGGATTTACAGGTCGATGAGATGATTCGCGAGGCCGACATCGACGGTAACGAATTGAAACGTCTATCCAACGCGTGGTCTCATGTGCGTGCAATAGGTGACGGTCAGATCAACTATGAGGAATTCGTGAAGATGATGATGGCCAAGTATTTATCATTCCTTTCAATTTCCATGTGTGATTCTAATTTACAGGTAAACTCTGGCTTCGATGTTAACAATGGGGAGTTGTCGATGGTTGTGTTCTCGCCGTTCAGCAACGGGGTGTTGTGCAGCCTAAATCTACTAACAATTTAACCGCTCCTAATAAACGATGCGTTTAAAGCTTATTGGTGCACAGAAGCATTTATTTTAGAACTTCACATTTGGTCCCAAACTCTTTGAAGTACAACTTCTGTATCTCTTGGTCACCTAACCTATTCGGTGATTTGTCTATATGGGGCGGGATAAACAGAGCCAAATGATATGCCCGTTGATACTTGCCACCCATCGCCCCACAACAACATCCACGACTGATCTCTATGGAATTTTGCCAAAGAACATCACAAGTCCAATTCCCGTTCACTTTAATAATCTTTCCCACATCGTCTGGCATATGTCGATCGGAGTTTTTGCTTGCCCAATGATGTGCAGTTGGACCTAGCGGCACTTTTCGAGCCAAGTTTCTTCTTTTCAAAGCTTCCTTCGTGAAATATACTTGCATGCCCTCGCGCGGCTCGATGTCTCGTCCTATCAGAATGTCTCGGTCAATGTTTTGTAGACCGAGCAGAATTCGTCTGAACGATGAATTCTTTCCCAGCGCAAGAGTGTCTCTGTCCGAAACCTTGCCAATCTGCTCCAACAGAGAGGTTATGGGAGCCCCATCGACCAGCGCGTATTTGTAATGGTTGAACTCATTGTTTGCATCTCGTTGATCTCTCCCATCCCATGCTTGAAGGGCCTCCGCCTTCTTTCCATACATGTAGGCTCTTAAGTTTGACCCGTACTGGTTTGTCGCAGCATTGCAATGCTGACACCTCTGCTTCGCTTCTCCGTGCAGGCACTTGAGCATGGAATTATGGATCCGTTGACAGAACGACCGTTAAACGACGTTGCGAAAGTTGTTGCAACCGTTTCATTCACCAACAGCGTTTCGTTAACGGTTATTCTTCGGTCGTTATTTTATAACCAAAGTAGTAACGGCGATGCAACAAGTATTTTCATGGCGAGAGCGATCCTTGAGGAGACGAAGAGAGAGGAAGGGAAGGGAGAGGGACGAGGCAGGAGATGGAGGTGTCTTCTCGTAGCATCGGATGTCAGTGAACAGGAGAGAGGATGAACACGGGCAAGAGAAGGATCGCGCAATGGAAGGGGCAATGGAGGAGGTGGAGATTGGTATGAGTTTGGGCAGCGCATTGCTCAACAGGAGCACAAGAGAGTTGCTGAAGAGTTAGAAATGTTATCAAGGACAAGGGCATAGAACAACAAGGAACACGTGTTGAGCGCAGGGTTGGAAAACGAGGACTTATGGGATATAGAGAAGGGTGTATGGCACAATTGGCGGAAGAAGTCCAAGCAGGGAAGAAAGTGGGAGTAGATGCGGACGAGGAGAGTGGAAGGGTGTGAGTGCGGTCAAGAGGATTGTTCTGATGTTGCCCACAGATCCGTCGCTTCTCGTGGCAGGAGAGCATGGAACGGTATGACATGTGAGTCTGAACATGCGATGGGGAGGTGCGAGCTGCCCCTCTGTCTGGCCCTCAGCTCGGAGAATGTCTGTGGAGCCTTGATAAAGGTCTGAAGGTCTGAGGACGTGGATGACTCATCCCAGCACCGCAAACAAGTCAGACCAGGGCCCATCGCGCGAGCAGATGTTCGGGCTGTTCTCGAGGAGCCCGGGGGATTATGACGGTTCGTCAGCCCACTCCTCTCCCAGCCTGGGAAACTTTGAGCGGAGCCGTGAGCCGAGGCTGAGCCAGGACTGGCTGCTGCTGAATGGCACGGACGACACAGACCTGTTCTCGCAGGAGTCTCCTGACCTCTCCTGCCTGGGTAAGGTGACCGAGGGTGGGGTTGACGATGAGACTGAGCAGCCGACGCTCTCCAAAGAGTACGATCCCCACAGCAATTTCCGGGTCTACGTCGGTGAAGATACATACCTGCTCGTGCCTCTCATCAGACTGGATCGAGGGAAGGCTGCAGGAGCGGAGGAGGACATCCAGAAGAGTGTCGTCGTCGACAGGTCGGCGAGGACGGTGACTGGAGTGTCCGAAGGCCATGTGAATCACCTCAAGGCTCGCTGTAGGGATGTGATCGTAGCCAAGGGCCTCTTGGGGATCGTCAAGCTTGAGTGGGACTCCTACCTCGTGCTCCTGATGGCGTCGGAGCTGGTGGGGAACCTGCCGCAGGGGGAGCTGAGGAGGATCTCAGAGACGAAACTCCTTCCGATGAACCTGGACAGTAGGCTCAACACGCCTTCCAACGACCCCAGCCGCATGAATGCGAACAATACAGGAGCTGGCAGCAGCAGCCCCGCTGACCTGAGCATGGGAGTGCTGTCAAAGCACTCCTTCATCCATCGGAGCTTCAAGGACCTGCTCAAGTCAGGATGGCTGATATTCTCTTGGTCCTTTGACCCTACTCTCTCACAGCAGCAGCATGGGAGTAGGTCCCTCCGCCAGAGTGCCAACCAGGCAGCTGAGTTCGAGGGCGGCTGGGAAGGGTTTCAGCACACCAAGGACAGCTATGCAAAGTACGAGAAGGATTGGGGGTGGAACTCAAGGTTTGTGTGGAACATCTCCTGGCTGAAGCCGTTCCTGGAGGCGTCGGAAAGACACCCAGCGGTCAAGAAGTTCGTCCTTCCGGTGATCTATGGCTATGCAAGGATCGTCAAGTGCAAGCTGGACAACGTCCCCATCCAGCTCTCGTTGATCGCCCGCAGATCGCGCAAGAGAGCAGGAGTCCGGTTCTTCCGCCGAGGGATCGACGATGAGGGCAACGTCGCCAACTTTGTGGAGACGGAGCAGGTATGATTCTTGCTCGTGGTGCCTGCGGCGTCTCCCCTGACTCCACCTGCAGGTCGTCCAGGTTGCCAACATGATCAGCTCGTTCGTCTGTGTTCGTGGCTCTATCCCCCTCTACTGGAAGCAAGAATCCTCGGACTGGACGCAGCTGAAGCCGAGGTTGGATCTCGATCATGGAAGCGACCATGCTGCGCTGGCTCCAGGAAGCAACGACCGAGCAGAGACCCCAGCTCGGTCAGAGCAGCCGCAAGGCACAGGGACGATGAAGTTCCGTCAAAACGTGTTAGACCGGAACTTCAGGTTCACTTCTCAGGCCTTCCCCTCGGTCTTGTTCAAGCTCTTCTCTCTCCTTTCCTCACGTTCCCCTGTGTCAGCTGCTCCACTCCTATTGATGCCTCCTCAGACCGCTTGCTCTCGCAAACTCTCTCTCCCTGTCCTTTCTCCCGATCTCGCTCTCTCGCTCACTCCGATCGCAGTGCTCTGCAGTTACACTTCGAGCGGCTTCGCGAGTACTACGGCTCGATCCTCGTGCTGAACCTGGTAGAGCAGCACGGAGGCGAGGCCCAGCTAGGCGCTCTCTTCAAGCGCACGCTGTCCATGTATGTGAACAGCGTAGCATCGCCTCGTCCTCCCTCTCCTCCTCCTCCTTCTCCTCCTGTCCCCCATCTTCACGCTGCCTCCTCTTCTCCTCCTCTTCGCTGGTCAACTACGCATGCTCTCTTGCCATACGTGGGCTCGACGTCTCCAGAAGATCATGTGGGCGATCTGCAAAGGGCGAGGGATAGCAGTGAAGAGGAGGTCGAGCAGTACGGGCATCAAGCCGCGCGTGGTGAGGATGAAGGGCAAGCGGTGAAGTACTACGAGTTTGCATTGCATTCGAAGCTCGAAGGAGTAAGTTGGAGGGAGGAAGGGAAGAGGGAGCGTGGAGGGGATGGAGCGCAATGAAAGAGGGAGAGAGGGGAATGAGCTGAATCGAATCGAAGGATAACTTGAGAAGGCGCCTTAAGCCGATACTTCCTGACTTGTGTTGCTTCGCGTAGGATTGGAGCCTGGGCCAAGTTGAGCTGCAGTCGCTGTTTGGGATCGGACTGTCGGAGGTTCATGCCAATTTGCTGCTCCTGCGCTCCGTCATTGAGCTACTTTGGCTTGCAGCTCTTGGATTGCGGCGTCTTCATATCGAGTCTGGAAAAACCAGAGAAGGAAAGTCTCTCCTTCCGAACCAAGAGAACTTTCTGCGAGATTCTTGGACAGCAGACGGGTGAGATGAGACCTCCCTCCCTCCCTCCCTCCCTCCCTCCCTCCCTCCCTCCCTCCCTCCCTCCCTCCCTCCCTCCCTCCTCTTCTTTCTGCCTTCCTTTCTGTTTTGGTTCAGATGTGGTTCCAGGCGTCTTGCGAGTCAACTGCATCGACTGTCTGGACAGGACCAACGTTGCTCAGTCGATCGTTGCTCGGTTGACCTCTTGGCATCTCGTCTCTTCTCACCTTTCTCCCTTCAACCAGCTGGATGTTAGCCAAGCAACTTGAGCTCATGGGTGTGATCATGGATGAGGAGGTAAGAAAGATTCCCGGGCATATCTCTCCTCTTGGTTAACTTCCCCCTCCTCCTCCTCCTCCTCCTCCTCCTCTGCCTCCTCCTCCTCCTCCTCCTCCTCCTCCTCCTCCTCCTCCTCCTCCTCCTCTTCATACTGCATCTGCTGCTTGCTGCTTGCTGCTTGCTGCTGCTGCTGCTGTACTGGCACTTGCATGCTCCTCATATTCTCTCAGGGCAAGGCGATCGCGCGAGGCGACACGTCCTGTTTCCCAGCTCTTCAGGTGAAGTCGAAAGGGATGTGGAGGAGGATGTGACAGCTCCTCTAGGACTCCCTGGTCCATCTTTGGGCGGACCACGGCGATGTCCTCTCCCTCCAGGTCCTTCGGTCAACTTATGTCTTGGAGGAGGAGTGACGTGGAGCTTGATAGTACGCCGGCTCGCAAGCTCTCCAATCAGACGTGACGAGGTGCCTTAGCAATATCTTGATTTGCTCCTCTGACATGCTGTCAAGGACGGGAAGGAGAACACTGCACGGTCTGCTTGTCGACAGGTGTGGAGCATAGGACAGACACCTCCTGCTTCCGCTCCCGCTCCCGCTCCTTTCACTCCTCTACTCTTCTTCATGTTTTCTGCTGCTGAACTTGATCAATCAGCGTGTTCTCGATGCAACGATTCGTGCAGCGATCGTTGTATGACAGGTTTGCATTCCTCTCCTCCTCCTTCCCTTCCTGTGACCGCCCTTGTAGCTCCATCCAAGAAATGCTTGACTGGATCCTCAACGAGACATGGCCTCCGCTTCTGCTAGAGCTCGAGGATGCCGATACTCTGGGCAAGGGCCAGCGCCTCCGGGCTCACGGCGAGCAGGAGAGGGGGGGCGGAGGAGGGAGCATTCAGCAGGAGGAAGTTCGACGAAGCACCAGGGAGGAGGAGGAAGTTCGGAGGAAGTCAACAGGGTTCGCTGCCCTGCTTGAGCCAACACAGGACATGCCCAAGAACCTGGTCAACATGAACTGGCTGGACCTCGCGGGCAAGTACGTAGCCGCCGCTCCTCCCCGCTCCTCCCCGCACTCACCTGTCCTCCTCCCCAGCCTCGGCTTCCGCCATGGCAGCCAGCTCCAGGGCAACGATCAGGTGGCTGCCTCCTCACATGCTGCGATGCCTCATTGATGACGTACTGGTCCAGAATTCTCCTCGTGCTGCTGCGGAGCCGCGGGCTGCGTCGCCCTCGGCGAACATCACGTTTGCCGAGGACAGCGAAGAAGGCTGGGAGATGATCCTTACGTTTTGAAACGAGATGCTCGATCATGGGGGCTGAGCAGGAGCAGGAGCAGGAGCGACAGGGGCGGGGGCAGAAGGGGAACAGGGGAATGAGCAGGAGCAGGAGCAGGAGCAGGAGCAGGAGCAGGAGCAGGAGTATCGTCTTGAGCCGCGGAGAAGCATGCAGAAGCGATATTCTTTCAAACTCTCAGCAACCAAAAAGCACCAGGGCGTTGGGAGCTGTAACTGTTGTACACTATGAACGGCGGCCAAGGAACAGGCGGGTAGAGAAAATCCTGCACCAATGTAGCAAATAGGGAGGGAGAGACAGGCAGGACGCGGGTACCAGCAACTTCGCAGACACAACAACTGTATTCTACGACAAACAAACACCTTTCTGCAATCTTGTATGTACACTAGACCGCCGAGCGTCGCGGCTCCTCTAGCACCAGTTCACATTCAACCGATGAAGTTGTTCTTAGTATCTGGCCTCGCGATCCCACTCACCACAGTCCTCACGGCCGAGCTGTTGGCCACACGATGAGCCACTCGAGCTGTCAGCGTGGTGCCTGAAGTCAGGAAGACTGCGCTGGCAAGAGCCAGTCCAGCCGGCTTCTCGCTCGCCATGCGCTTCGCCTGGTTCTTGAGGAAACCGTAGAGGGCACAGTGACCTTGGTTCTCAACCGCTGGAAGAAACTTTTTGACCAGACAACAGAGGGTGAACTGGGAACGGAGCTGGGACATGCGCGTTGTTGCTCTTGCTGGCTAACGATGGCCGTTTCAACTGAACCCACTATCCGCCTTTCCTTGCTTTGATTTTTCTCAAGATGCGTCCTAAACTTCCTTTAAGCCTCGATAGAATCCGCCTGAAAAATCAAATTTTGCGTGAATGAAAACTTGAGCAATGTCAAAGGCCTCATCTCCTCCCCTTGAATTAAACTGCGAGTCCTCCTCGAGGCTGCGAACGTTTCGTATTTCACCACTACCTATCCCTCATTCATCTGCTTCCGATTACTCTGCTGTGCCCTGCTGACTTCCCTGTATCCCAACCTGGCTGGCCTCCTCTCACTAAAATTGAATTCTCTTCACACGACTATCATGCTCCCTGCCCCTCTGCCCCCTCCTCCTTCGCCTCCCTGCCTCCCTGCCGTCCTGCCTCGCCTCGCCTCGCCTCGCCTCGCCGTCGCCTCGCCTCGCCTCGCCTCGCCTCGCCT